GCTGGAGGTGAATAGGACACACGTTACAGAAAGCACCCAGACGTGTCACAAGACAAGCCTTTAATTGGAATCCTGAAAGCCAAAGGAAAAGAGGAAGGTCAATGAGCACATTATACCAAGAAATGGAGACAGACACGAAAAGAAAGAACCGCGATTGGGTAGAATTAAAAAGGAAGACTGAGGAAAAAGTAAGTTGGAGAATGTTGGTTAGCAGTCGGTGATCCAGTAGAAGTAACCTACGTAAGTAAGCAAGTATTTACTAATAGAAATCATACCAAAAAGTTTATTCCATTGAAATTACAACCTATCAGTTTAACACTTAGGAAAATAAACAATGTAAATTATGTTCATTGTCAAATTGAAATTTCTTAATCCTTTCCATATCTGTTTTTTCACTGGAAATAATAATTTTGCTTTGAAGAAATACTTTGACACAAACAAGAGAAATTCATTCAATTCTTTTTATTAGTTAAATGATCAGTGTTGTGGTGGTTTTTCCTTCTCTGAGCTTCACTTCTATTTGAAGTTTGTACTGATGATGTTGTTCGGAAGGACAATGAAAGCTCCACAACCAAAACATCCAGCTCAGATGACGAAACACCACCACAATCATCCAACTGAGCTACAAATTTACTCCACCATCTTAAAATCAATGTTGTTTTACTGAATTATTAGTCCATAAGCATTTATAAAATCTAACAAAATGATGAAAGTTATTAAGATGAAGGTCGATAAAATACAAACTATGTCTTAAATTATGCTAATTCATAGTTAAATAACAATTAATAACATGTGCATTCATCCATAGATTTTAAATACTTCTATCGGTTGTAGCATTTATTCAAATGAATCGACATTAAATGATAAATGAGATTTTTAAATAATTTTAAGTAATTCAACTGAATATGATATTCAATGGTGTCATTATTATATCTTACCGGTTATTGATAATCATCATGAACTTTCTATTCTCATGTTAATCAGATTATTTTATTATTTTAAGCTAAAGTACATTTCTATTCATTGAAGACTGTTCAGCAGTAGTTTTTTTTTATTCCATTACTAGCAATTAAACGTAAACGATAATTTATTAACTAAATATTTTCCTTTACATAATTGAGTTTAAATGGAAATTTTTAATCTAAATCAGTTTATCTATCGAATAAACACTTCACCGTACTTTTTAACCCCATTAAAAGTATACTACTCACAGTGGAACATCACATGAGTTGTACATTAGTTCTGAAATAGAGTGATAGTTAAACGCTGTTGGATAGTTATTACCATTAATTCATGATTTAGATTTTATTATTATTATTATTATTATTATTATCAATAATATCATCTATAAAATTGCTTAACTCTATAATTGATGCAAATCGAGACACTAATTGTATGAAATTAATTTTCTATCATCAAATTATCTAAACTTAGCATACATTGTCTTTGTATATGCTGATTATGTAACAGTCAGCTGTGCAGTAGGACGCGATGAAAAAAAGCTTTACTGCTTTTTATCAAAAAAATACTCAATCAATCATTCTACATTTTACTCATTAGTCCATGTCTATTATTTTATTTAGAAATAGATTCAACATTTCTTTTAGCCCAAGTTACATAAAAAAAAACAGATTCAAATCATTGAAATCAACGAAGTAGAATTTTATTTCAATCAACTCCAGATGACTAAGATGGTGGAGAAAATTTGTAGCTCAAGTGGATGATTATGGTGGTGTTTCGTTCTCTGAGCTGGATATTTTGGTTGTGAAGCTTTCATTGTTCTTCTGAACAACATCATCAGCACAAACTTCAGATGGAAGTGACCTGTCAAACGTGGAGAAATTCGAATACTTCACTTCCATCTGAAGTTTGTGTTGATGATGTTGTTCAGAAGAACAATGAGAGCTTCACAACCAAAATATCCAGCTCAAAGAACGAAACACCACTACCAGATGACTAAAAATTATTCATAAATATCTATTATGAATTCGGTGTATAATCACAGTGTCTAGTCATAGTCATTAAAAAATATTATAACCAAATAAAATAACACAGTATCTGAACAACATATCAATGACTCAGCGTTCTTCTTTCCCATGGAAAAGTTTTTTACTCTCATAACCTGTATCCTCAATCATTTTACTATAATCCTCATGACCTACTATTCTAATATCAATTGAATTATTCTTTCTCCTAGTGTAAAATGTGCACATAATACCGATTCAATGAAAAAAGTATTCGTTTGTAACGAATTCCAAGTTGGTTTCTAAACAGACAAGCTAATTTATCGATCAGAAGTTTAGTCATTCAACTTATGAATTAGAATCTTTAGCATAATGTGAACAATTTCATATTAGGCGATTATTAATGTGATGTTTAATACTTTTTGTGTTGTTTTTCAATGATGAATTAATTGTCTACATATTTCTTTCAATAAAAATCAAAAAACTGATTCATCTTTCAACGAGACTTGTATTTTCTAGTTTGTCCGAAAAAGATCTGTAAAAAACAAAGCTATGATAGTTAACTAATAAGTAAATCTGATGGTCTGTTTAGTAAAAAAGATTTTGTACACTAATTACCTACCAATTAAAAGACAATACAAATCAAGTGTACAATGAATTGTGTTGGTCAATGGAATATTTACAAATAGGTAAACTACAGTCTAATAGGAAATGAACAAGTCAGCATTGTTTTCGTAATTAGCATTAAAATTATATCACACAAAGTTCGTAAGAATCATAAAGTTAGTGATAAGAAAACTTCCCACCTATCAGTTGTATTAGTGTGGTAAACTATGAAAAGGAATGTTATAAATAAATAGAATTAGCAATGAAGTTTGAGAATAACTTATTCTGTTTTTAAGATGGTTGATACAACGAAGATTTTCACTGTATAGGAGTACTGTAGATGCTCATTCTGTGCTTGATACAAGCTGCTTGCTAGAACATTCGGGTCATCTATTTTCTGATTATCTAAATACTGCAACTGAGCTACTTGATTTAGATTTGTTTGGACTGAATAGTAATGACTGTTAAGTGCATGCACTTACACTCTACTGTAAAAGGGTTAAAAATCATATTGATAATAAATACAAGCACTTTCAAACAGGGATGCTACAGTTCTTGAAATATTTTCATTTTTATTGATCGTTCAACAAATCAAGAGACTTATACGATGGAATTTGAGTAACTTTAAAGTTGATGCATGAAAAAGCAGTTGTACTACTTGAACTGGTAGAAAACTTTGATGCTTGAAAAAGGGTGAAAGATATTGACTGTTGAAAGCATTTTTAAGATGTTTTGAATACTTAATAGAGAAATAATTGACTTACTATAATCTTTGGTTCTGATAATTCCTTACTGTAGTGAAATTCATACTACTGAGTATAGCTATTATTAATATTGTTAATATTATTGATAAATTTAGTGATATGTATGGGTGTTTTATGCATAGACAACAGTTTAGAAAACAGAGAGTCTAAGTTGTTTGTCTGTTCAAAGTTTACTAATTTTGTTTCGTCAACCTTAAAAGGTTGCGACAATATCGTGTCATTATTAATGACAATTAGAATATTTTTATCATTATCATTGTTATTATTACTGTTATTATTACTATTTTCAACGTTGATACATTCGTAATTATGCCACACAAACTTATGCAATTCAACCGTCTACCATTTCGACAAACTCCTTTTTTATTTTGAATATACTCATTATTTCAAAGTGCACAATGACTGATTGATTAGATTTACACAAACAAACTAGCTTTACAAACATGGTACCTTCTTTATTTAATGATTGTACACTTTAAATTCAATGAATTACTTATTTTCGATTGCTTGTAAACTACATCACTCTGTAATGCTTATCAACTTTAGTCTTTCATAGATCTTGTCACTATTTTTATAATCTGAAAATGATCCAACTGTATTATATTGTGTAGAAATGAATATTTCATTTATTTGTTGAGCTAAGCTAAATCTATCACATTAAACATAGTTTCGGTGCTCAGGGATTATTCTAAACACTATAATATTCATTTTAAGATTGAGATTGCGCCTAAATTGCAACTTCTATACATTCCTTTTGTTGTGGAACGAAATTACCTAGCGAATTTAAGGAAACTGACTGACAATGCCCAATCTCGTTCGATTAATTCTTGAGGCCTCTTATCAGTAAATGTTCATGTTTCATATTGAATTTAATTAAGGGATGTTTCAGATATTTGTAGTAGTATATTAAATCAAATTAGAAATCAAAATTAAAAATACCTCTAAGATAGATAGAAAATATGATGAATACCATTAAGTTAATCTTGAATAATTCTTCTGATCATCTCTTCTAATATGATAATTTGAATTATTTAACACGATGCATATATCAAGGCATGCAAAAGTAACTAAAGTTGTTGTTTTATGGATTACACATGCTTTTTCTCCTTTAACACATTTTACGCTATTCTGCTTGTAAAGAATGATTTATGATTGTGCTGATTGGACATTAAGCATACTTTCAGTGGGGAAATTCATCGTTCGCATTTCAGTTGTTTTTGATGATACAGGCATTTTCTCCTATCAAGATACCACAACGTACCTATAAATATATGCGTAAAGTAGTATTTAGGTGGGATTGATGCGTCATTCTCGGCATAGACACACACAAAGTTATACGTGTGAATGTTAGTGTGTGTGCTTTTTTGTGTCTTTCCTTTCTCACTATTCTAGAGGTCAAAGCTTACTGATACATACAACACTAGACATCAAAACAGACATAGTATATAACATCACTGATTGGCTACTACCTACTGGTCACATTGAAATGGGAATGAAATAAACCAGTTTTATCTGGCACATTACCTTAAAAGGTTAAATAATATTATTTGAAATATGCTTCACCTTATCGTGTACTGTGATGTAATATGCCTTCTCCACCGTATTATTCAAACGAGGATCTTCATGTAGAAACTGATTATTAAAAGATTATGTTTCAGAGTATCAAATGCATCACTTAACAAATATGATTAGTTCACAATTATTTTATTTACTTATTTTCCTTACAAGATACACGTTATCATCATCCTATAGAGAGAATAAAATTGTTCAGGAATTATTATTATATCCACCGGATTCAGCTAGACTATATGCACATATTAATCGTGGAAGTTATTTTGGCTATTCTGTAGCAACATACATTGGACAGTCACAACCATCATGTTTAGTTGGTGCACCAAAAGCAAGTCATGGTAGTAATGTAAATGAATCGACTGGTGTTGTTTATCGTCTTGATTTGGATCTTACATTCCCACTTTGTTCTGTTGTACCAATTGCAACAACTGATGAATTAAGAAAAGAAGTGGGTACGCCAACACCTGGAGGTAAGACGCTAATGCTCTAAAAATAATTTTTTATATCCATGTTTCAATGGGCAGTTCCAAAAGAAATAAAGTTTGTAACAATTTATTTTATTAGAACTTGTAATAATGGTTGAATAGTGTTAAAAATATTCAGAACTAGAGATATTCATCGTGTTTCGCACACCATCAAATAAAGTTACCTTAGTATTAAACAGTGTAAATATTCAAACGTTAGCTATTTATCTCTTTTGTGTGAACTCAATCGCCATACGTTCACGATGAGATGATATCATAGTGAACCATTCAAAAGTGCATCAACTGCAATTCTTTATTCAAAAAGCAAACTTTATTATCATTTAAAATCATATGTTTAACAATTTCCTTTTATTATTGTGAACGATGGTCAATTGACAATAACTATTCATTCATAATCAAGCCTATTCAATGTCTTATTTGGTTTTATAGTTGATTAATGATATTATTTAGTTGTTTAGATTTTAATTTGCATTAATAATGATAATTAACAGTAAAACTCCTAATTTCACAACCATCACACAAACTTGCCAAATTTTTTAAATCACTTGTAGTTAGGTTTGAATGAAAAAATTAATCTTTGTTTGAGTTGATGAACACCTATTAATATTCCGAACTAATAGCATCAATAGATAGAATGTTTATGTACTTTGCAGTGAAAGTAATTGTCTCTATGGAGTCGTGGAGATTACTGAGCTTGATTAAAATCATGAACTTATCCAGGTTAGATGACTATTGGGAATACGGAAAAACTCGATGACTGTTTCATCCCTTTATGCACATCCATGACCTAACACGTCTGGGAATCGAACCTAGCATGTTATATCTTGTTCACGTACTCTTGACCTTTAGACTACTGAGCAGACAAATAGTATTGCATACAACAAAGGCGATCAGTCCATGATATTGCGCGACTATCTTCCATTGCATTCGGTGGGTAAGTTCCTCAAACTTAATGGTTGAAGTTTACTGGTGACGGCTCCTCACTAGGATTCAGGAATTTCGCTTTCAAAGCTAGTTGTTAGTGCACACATAATAACGGTCAACATGGGATTGTAAAAAAGGTTGAGTTTTATTCAGAGCACGCACTATTCTAAAGTAGTTGTTATTTTATATGAGAATAATGCAAAAGAGCCTCCGATAATAAATCCTATCTATCCTGATGCTCATCCGTTTTGAAATGACTCATCATCTACTTGAGATTCAATTTAATGTTTCATAATATCAATATCCCGAGTGAGAGCTTATGGCGAACAGTCATCAGAATTAATTATTTCAAGTGGTGTCCGTCAGGGTTGTCCACTCTCTCCATTCCTGTTTAACTTTGTCTTAGACATGCTTTTAGAGTTAACTTTATCGTCGTCTTACTTTTCAGGTGTACACCTTATACCAGGAGACACACTTGCTGACATAGTTTTATTTGGTCAAGACGCTGACAAAATGCAGTGTTTTCTGACTACCCTAAGCAACAATGCAACCATGTTCGGGATGCATTTTCCCCCCTCGAAATGCGAAATTTTGCTTCACGACTGGACTGAACTAGTGATAAGGAGTGGATTAGTCGGGCGTGTTGACTACCTCACTTATCCCGGGAATCTCATCAGTGCTTATTGCCTGGTGACTGACGAAATCTCGCCGCGGATACAGAAAGCTCGATTGGCTTTTGCCAAGTTGCGTCACTTATGGCGCAGGCGAGATATCCATTTGTAAACCAAAGGATTAATGTACTGTGCAGCAGTTCGCTCTGTTCTACTATATGAATGCGAAACATGGTCGTTAACAGCAGAAGACATTATTCGATCATAGGTGTATCCGAAGCATTGCTCGTATATCCTGGGACAGCCAAGTAAGCAATGTTATAGTTAGGAAACGAGTACTAGGAAGGGATGGCAGATCAATAGATGAAGTATTGAAACTTCATCAGTTGAGGTGGTTGGGTCATGTGTTACGAATGCCCAACCACCGACTGCCTCGACGAGCTATGTTTTGTGGTGTAGGAGTAGGTTAGAAGAAGGCTAGGGGCGGCCAAACCAAAACATGGTACAAATCCATGAAGTCACTGACTAGTGGACTGAGTCATGTTGGTAGGTGCAGGCTACGTGGTTGGGGTCCGCGAGACGATAGTCACCGATGGTTATAGACCTTGAACGACATGGCTCGAAATCGTTTGCAATGGCGCAAGCGCATCCACTCACTGTGTTCCCTCGAATTCTAACCTTCTGAACTCTTCATCATCTCTATGTTTCTCTTCCTAAATTTACGTTACCGAACTATACTTCTTAAATAATATCTTCGATCCTTAATATTCCCCATTATCAGTAATTCTTCTACTAACTCCACCAGTACGTGATTTGAACTGACAGTGTAATCTCTGTGATAATGCCGTATGGTAACTTGAACTGATTTACGTCCGTACGCAGTTCTACGTTGTAACTGACTGACTGAATATCAATATCGTCTAAAGATTTTATACCTCTCTTGTCGTAACGATCCTTCTGACATAAGAAAGTATTATTGGTATAGCGTATACTAAGTAAAGTCATGCTAATCGATAAATATTTTCAGCAGATATATCCTAATTTGCAAAGTTTGTTCACTCTCTTGGTTTGTACTCATTAACAGGACCTACATCAGGGGATGTTTACAAATGTCAGTAGGCAGAATTTGTAGGTCACCAATTCCAGTCCTACTCAGTTACTTCACAGTATTGTTGAGTTTCGTTTGTATTGTGGAGCTTCCATTGTCCTTCTAAAAAACATCATCAGCACAAACTTCAGGTAGAAGTAAAGTATTCGGATTTCTTCATTTATGACTCGTAACTTTCCCTGTTGACCATCCAGCTCAGAGAACGGAACTCTGCAATAATCATCCATTTGAGCTTAAAATTTTCCTGACCACCTCAACATCATACGAGCGTAGTTCCTTTTATCTTGGCCAGTTCTGCAGTCTTTTCTTTTTAAATTCATCAAACCCTTGAATCCTTTTTCAAATAATACAATTTAGGTGAACTATCCATTATTCTATTTCGAAAACTTTAGTAAGTTAGTCTTAATAGAAAAATACTCAATTTCAAGTCTGTGTGGATCAAACACGTGATACTAGGAGTAGAAGAGAATCATGGAGAGTTATGAGTCAGACGTCTGTAAACCAAATAGATATACATATTTCTAACACGATTCACCAATCATCATTATTTTACACATTCAATGAATTTCAATACTCACTCCTGAAAAGTGTATGGCTTGAGTAAGTAATTGACAAATGATTAGTGCTCGCCCATAAATTTCAACTAAAATAACTCAAAATTTCAGTTCACGACAGTATAAATGAATGATCCAAAGAATCAATGTATTCCAGATATGATAAATTAGATTAGCATGTGACGTTAAAAATAACCTGCTGTTTTTTATAGGAAAGGTAATAGACAATATTTCGTCTTTAACAATTCATGCATTATAATCATGTTATATTACAGAAAACGAAGATAATACAACTATAACATAAATTATGTCACACATCAAATCATTTAGATATCCAATCTCTCAATAAATTTATCATAGAATTGTTTTTCCTCACCAGTTATCTTGCATAAATAAATAACGCCTATCACTCTCAGCAAAGTAGTCAGGAAACAAGTACAATACTAAAAATAATAAGAAATGAATTGTGAGATTAATCATTTTCCCAAATTTCATGTTATGCATTTTACAAAAACTACAATAGATGTTTGCTAATGTAATGTATTATATTGAAGCTAACCACACCTTATTTGATGTACCTTGATAAGAAAATGTACACAGTTGGAAGTGCTATGCAAAATTATCATCACTTGTTTGCTTATTTCCCATGATTTTGATGTTGACGCCTTATTCAGAAGACAGAAAGTTTTGTGTCATTGATCCATTACTGACATTTGAACATTACCTACTGTAATTTGGTTTGTTGGATTCCAGGACTAAAGTGTTTGTGCATCGAAATTCTTTCAATGAAAGAAATTTGAACACAGTCTCATCAAATTCGTCTACTACACACTACTATAATGAAATAAATAAGTGACTACTATCTATACACTAATGAACAAAGGTCATTTGAGAATAACCAAATACAATTAGTATTGGAATCAGAATTATTGTGTTTAATTGAAGAAAAAAAGATACTAAATACTTTTTTTATAAAACTACTGTGTATATAATCGGTCAAATAAATTATTAAACTGAATACTGAATGGATTGCTTAAAAATAAAATTGATTTTGATTGAAAATAAATGCATTCCTGTTATGGCATACATATGCATAAAGATCTGTTCTTTTTTTATTTATGCATTCACTGGAGCCTTAATGTTTTATTTGAATAATTCTTAGGGAATACAATGTTTGTTTTTCTTTGGTAATTCATTCTTCTTACATGTATATAAAAAGTATTTGTCTTTATAGGTGAATATATTTTGGGCCTCTGTTTTGTTTTATCATCATAATATTTCTCACAACAAGATTCAAAAAAGAAAGAAACGAAAGTATTTTGCACTACCGACTTTTATCTTTCATTCATTTTATATCATATCACTGTCCAGATTTTAGTAAATCTAGACAGTAAAGAATGAGTGTGATTCAAAGCAAAGTTTATCTAGATGCGTTGCATGAAATGCATATTATTTTGATAACGAGTTTATCATATACAGTCACCCAAGTTACTGACAGTTGAATGTATGGTAACAGTCAGTTAGCTTTATATTTGTCTCACAAATTATCAGCGTTAACAAGAGATTTTTCATGTTTAACTCTAAAACATACAGATTTACACAAAATTTACATGAGTTCGAGTAACTGCGATTTTCAGTATAAAATCAATACAAACAAAAATGATCCAACTGAATGGCAAAATGTAGAGCTAATTCAGTTAAAATTATAAAAAGTCAACTTTCCTCTTTAGTCTCTTTACATTTGACCTTATAATGCAATATTAAACATGGAATAATGGATAACACGTT